GAGCCAGCATAACCAATGGTGCAGTCCAGCAATATCTGCAGGGTCACAGTTGCCCATCCTTCCCTAGGTGAAGACAGCTAAAAGCATAATGGCCCAATGCTAATTTTTGAACTGATTGTGCTATGGCCTGACTGAGTTGACTTGACACCCATGGCTCAGTTACAAGCAGACCTTGACTTCTGCATATTGGGTACCACTGACGACAGTCCAGTATCTTTAAGAGCCAGCAGCTAGGCTGCTAATTGGTATAAATAGTAGCACTATGGTACTCACAGGGGATTGGTTCCAAGCATTCTGTGGATCCCGAAAAACTTGTAAGTATTAAATGCTATACATTGCATGATATCTGGCTACTGGCCAGATATCATGCAATACACCCTGGAAATACATATAAATACTGTAAATATTTCTGAGGTTTTTATGTAGTATTTTCAGGCAGCAGATCAATAAATCTGTAGATACTGATTCTGCAGGTGGGGGTCCTACTGTAGTATCATATGACTCCATTACTGAACAACCTGGATTAATTTTTGGTTGCTTACTTGATCCAATTGATGATGTTAGTTTTAACCTCTAAAACCCTAAGTGGCTTGCGGCTTGACTATCTAAGGGACCATCTGCCTTGCAAGGAACCAGTCCAATGTTAGGCTCTTCAGAAGAGGCTTGCTTAAAAATATCAACTGCTGTAGAAGCCCTCCTGCAAGAAAGGCAGGAGGGTGCTTTCTCCTGCATGGCTCCCCAGCTGTGGAAAACACTGCCTGCAGAGTTGTGATCAGTTTGCACTCTCACTGTGTTCAGAAATGTTAAAAACACGTATTTTAAAACTGGCAGGTAGGGTTTGATCTTCCCTCTTTTTAGCTATACTCTTAATCAATTTTAATAGTTTTTATAATATTGTTAGTATTATTTGATTTTAATGGTTGTATGTAAAATTTATTGTTCTCGAGAAACTAAAGGACTAAACTGAGTCAATTTGTCAACTGATGGGACAAGAAGGTTCCACTGACTTCATCTGAGTCTACCTTCCGGTAAATGGATCGTTGCCTACATTTTGTAAGATTGCTGCCTAAATCTTATAAGATTTGTCCAGCCTGTAATCTGAAAACATTTTGGAGTACCCTACGTTAGCTCCAGCCAGTGTAATCAATTATCAAGAGTGGTGGGAGTTGTAATTCAAAACGTCTAAGGTTGGGGAAAGCACAGACAGGCATGATTACACTACCTGGAGCTCAGAAAAAGCTGTTAAATTCCAGACTTGTAAACAACTCACCTACAATGGCATCACCAGCTGTTTTTCATATGTTCTGAACCTGAAGATCTCTTGAGGCAAAAGTCAAATACAACACAGGAAATCTAGCATGTGAAATACAAGAGTTTTCAGAATGTTGTTGTGTGATAAATGTTGTGGCTGCCTAACCTTGGCAGACAAAATTTGCTGGCTTGTAAAATATTCACGCATTTTAAAAACCAAGCCCTGAAACTGCCAAACAGATTACCTGGATGGTAGCAGATATATCATATGCACATAAAGGGTGAGCTCAATACAGGCGCAGCAAAGATAACCAAATGAAAAAAGGTTTGAAACCTTTCTAAATGCCCAGGCGGCATTTCTTGTCCTCTCATTAGAATTATGATTCGACCAGGAAATAACGCAAGTGTGATGCCTGTCCCTGAAACAATAGGTTAATCTTGAAATAATACTACATTGAAAGCAAGTTCATGTCAAGTCACTTCTGTACAGAACAGAACAGTACAAAGTGAACCTCATTTCTGGTCGTCGTCTAGTTGTCTAGTCGTTTAGTTGTGTCCGACTCTTCGTAACTCCATGGACCAGAGCACGCCAGGCCCTCCTATCTTCCACTGCCTCCTGTAGTTGTGTCAAATTCATGTTACTCATTTCTGGTAATTCGATGGAATTCTGGGAAATCCTTTGATTCAGAGTGGGTTCTCTAAAGAGGGGAGGTTCCATTTCATCTTTTGTTTCTTGTTTTATGTGCCTAGTGAGAACACATTTGCACTCCAGGTCACCAGGTTTGTGCTTTTTGTGTTTCTTTTTTTCACCCTATTAGACTGCATGAAATACATACAATGCGATGCTGCTGTGGCTTGGATTTATCTTTTGTTGGTTGCCATGCATTATCACTATATCAACCAAGTAGAGAACCAGGCCCAGGACTGAGCATCATAGTACCTTGCTTGTTACTTCCTCCCAGTTGCAAAATGAGCCATTGATAAGTACTCTCTGAGTATGATTCAGGAACTAACTGTGTATCCACCTGATAGTTGTTCTAGCCAGCCCAAATCTACGTAGCTTGCTAATCAGAATAGCATAGGGCACTTTGGCAAAAAAGGGTTACTAGGATCAAGATATATTACACCTGCAGCATTCCCTCTATCTACTTAAAAATTGGAAAAATAAGGCAATAATCATAACTAACATTTGAAAACATTTAACTCAAGTAATTGTTATTCGTGCACATTAATGTCCTTCTCCTTACAGGGAAAACATTCTGCATTTTCTGTCAAAACACATAGAATCTGTCCTTTTCTCTTCTGCTCACATTCACAATTACCACTAGGGCATAATTAAAATATCCACCTAGTTGTGCCACTAGAAGAATCATGGCTCCAAAACTGTTACAATTAAACAGTCTCATCTTTTACAAAACAAAATAAAATGAAACAAACCTAGGCACCAATACTTATACTATATCTTCTAACAGCCTAACAATCTGATTGAAGACCTGAATGCCTAATTAGCATCTAATCAGTCTCAGCAAGTTGGTGTCGTGATGAAGTTTTTAAATACACAAATCAGTTTAAAAACATTGTCCAAAATGGCCACAGGTATTGTTTGAAAACTGGTTTCAATCTCCCGTGGATTGAAAAATCATGTTATCAGATCAGGTGGATTAGGGTTTAATTTCAGGTTTATTGTCAGGTCAGGTCTTATTTTCAGGGAAACAGGGTAGAAACTTGATTTTTATCCCCCCAAACTGTCTTCCCACTCTGTTTCCATCCTCCAGTATGCTGATGATGCTGTCTATTGGGCTGAGAAAACTGCTAAGAGCTCTATCATCTTATTGTATGCAAGAACAACTAACCCTTAATTACTCCAAGACCAAGGTGATGAGTTTCAGTAGGAGGAGACTAAAACATAAGTGGTCTATTAATGGGAACATCATCGAGCACGTGTACTATAAGGATCTGTGAATAATTTTTTCATTCATTTTTTCATTGGTCCACCCCCCCCATATGCAGCAACTAATGCACAGAAAGTGTCACGTCGTTAATTAGGGTCTTTTACACCAAAGGGGGACAACATGTGCCATCTGTGCTACAAGTATTCAAGGCAAAAATTATAGCGCAAATGCTCTATGGCTCCCAAATATTTGCACACTCCAACATGCATCACCTCGAGCTGGTACAGACAAAATTCTTGAGGGCTGTTGCACAGGCAAAGATTCAGATGCTCAATTATTTATTAAAGTTAATTTATTTTTTGGCCCGGTACGTTTGGCACCATTGATATTATTAGACACTTTCTACTCAGAATGGAAGCGTTTCCTGAGCAGGGAATTGACTCAGGTAGGTTTTTCTCCCAACATTCTTGTAACAATGGGTTATGCAAATGCTCAAGCAGTCATAAAACAGAGGATCCAGGATACAGAACGACAAGAACTCTTAGGCTTGCCGGACAAACTTGGTGCAGTACGAAATGGAAACCTTTAAACCTCCCGTCTATCTGCCCAATTTAACACTCCCTAAGTTTTAGAAGAGCCTTCACTCTAGCGAGATTCAATCTCCTGCCCTCTAAACTCTTCGAAGGAAGATTTTCAAGGCATCCCCTACACACTGAACATTTATGTCCCTGCAACGGGGAAGAGATTGAATCTGCGGGAAACGTTTTGTTACATGGCTCATTTTATCGAGACCTGCAAAGGTCTTTTCGGCCGTCCGTTCTACAGAAATTTCCTGGGAGAAATAGAAATTTCTATATAACTTTGCTGCTTTCAGACAAGGTCCCAGAGTAGACTTTGTCTAAAAGGGCGGGATAGAAATCTAATAAATAAATAAATAAATATTGTGAAAGATGACAATTGCTCTCCCAAAGAAGCTTCCTTGGAGGTCCATGTTGCCTGAAAGCCTCAAGGGAGGCCTTATGTATAACGCTTACGACAGTTTTTACAATCTCAATGACGTTAAAATGTTTTATAACTACATGCATACTTACCACAGCAAGGAACACTACAACCCTTCAAAATATTTCAAGATCAAGAAACAAGCAGAAAGGAAATGGGAAATAAAGGAAACTCTTAAGTCTTCGATCCTGACAAAAAAAGCTAATGACAACAAAGAGTCTTGAGAATTGGGGTGGCTCCATTTTTTATTGTTTAGTCATTTAAGTCCTTCCAGGGAGCATGTTGTGAGCGCCATTAAAAGACACCTTTTAAAGACTCCTGTTCTCATTCAAACTACAGGAGCGGAAATGTCTCTCTTTTAACTATTATTAATACCTATTAAGGGTACGGAATCATCTTTAAAAAAAAAAAGTTTGGCCCACTTTCCAAATGTTATTCGACTACACCTCTCATCATCCCTCACCATGGGCCATGCCGTTCACTGACAGCGCCACTCCAAACATCTGGAAAGCTAAAATTGCCCGCCAATTTATTAAACCTTAAACCTTCGTGGACCCCCTTCGACTTCATCGTCCTGAGCCATGATTTCAGAGGGGAAAAAGTCAGATGCTGGCCATTTCCCTGAAATTCCCCTGAATCTCGCACCCTCCACGCGGGAGAGAGACCAGGGCGCAACCCTGAGGCGAAGTAGCCCCAAAGCCCCCTCGGGCAGGAGGCGCGCACGCGAGTTGTGCGTCCAGACGTGCCTGGGGGGGGGCGCGAGAAAGTTGGACTGAAAGACACGTGAAAGTCCAGCACTGTGGGGATGGGGCGGGGCTCGCCGGCCTCTTTCCCCTCCCCCTCCTCCGGCGCCCCGCCCCTTCCTGCGCGCCCTCCTTCTTCCCGTGTCCAGCGGGTGGAAGCGTCCGTCCGCGTTGCACCGCCAGCCGCGTGTGCGCGTGTGTCCGTGTGTCCGGGATGGCCCGGGAAGGAGCGGAGCGGTGGCTCCAAGCCCGCGACCGGACTCTGCGCGCTTTCCACCAAGGTGCGTCTCTCGCCTGCCTCCCTTTTAAGATGCGGGCCGGAGGGAAGGGGGGAGGCTTGCGCCCGGGTGGAGGGGAGCGTCCCCTGGGGAGACTTTCCGGACCTCTGGCCGGTGTGTGTGTGTGTGTGAAGCGGGAGTGAGTAAAGAAGGGGCGCGTCTTGCACGGATCGTGCGTCTGCGCGGGACACCTTTTTCTGAGCCAGGCGGGGTCGGACACGTGTGTTTCCCCCAGGGTCCCGTCCGCGGACGCTGAGTTGGAGTGGGCCGTGTGCATCGGTCTGAAACACGCGTTTCGGGGGTCGGAGGGGCCTT